ACGTATATGTATTCTTTGGAGCATGTATGAGGTCTTTTGAGACACTTACTTGATCCTTGGTATATGTATATGGTTCTTAAGGAATTTATATGTGGTCCTTATGGACAATATTATATGGCACTACGGTGCAAATTCTATGCGGTACTTCGGTGCAATTATACGAGCTGTGGTGACAGCATTAGTGCACAACCTCTATAGACTCACATACCTATAGTTATCACATATGTCCATGAGCTAATCAGGAGACAATAACAAATATATGTTTGTGATATGATAAATGTTATAGAAATGATATGATGTTGTGTGTGTGTATATTGTTTGATTAAGGGTTTTAAGTATAAAAGTATGTGATTAAAAATAAACTGTTGATGATGCTTTATGTGTATGTAGGTATATTTTTGTTAAGTAATCTGATATGATTTTGTATGTTATGATGAAATAAGGTGATTTAGTATAGCATGATAGAATGAAACATGCATGCATTGTTAAATGTTATTAAGTGCATTATAAGTTTTATTTTACCTCTCTAAGTCATCGACTTAGCGTGTGAGTGTTTCACACGTAGGTTCTGGAAAGCTAGAAGAAAAGCTAAGAGAGCAAGACAGGTCAGCATCTCCCTTACAAATTTTAGATCAGAAAGTAGATGATTTACATGATTTTGGTTATTTTGAATATAATTGGCATGTATTAAAGGATTGAGTTAATATGCTCTGATTAATTTTAGTTATTGTGGTCAAGTTATGTAAATAAGTTGCTTTTACTTTAATTAAAGTTTAAATTTTCTTTGAATTTTGTCAAGAGTCAAAGTTTGAAAAGTCAATGTGACACCTCGGACTCGTATCCAGATTGGGTACGGGTTGGGGGTGTTACATTTAATGGTATTAGAGCTAAGGTTTAGCAGATTCTAGGCTTAAACCGAAGGTAAAAGAGTTTTAAAATGTGTATATGCCAACATAAGGTGAAAATTTCTGATTTGATAGTGTAAGGAGTGTATTGTTTTACTAATAGAATTAGATTGCTAAGTTATAATAGAAGTATGATTATAGTAATTTCGAAGTAAAGTGAGAGGCGATATTCCTGATTGGGATAGCAATTCACCTGCCCTGGCCAGGAAGGATGAAGAGCGGACACCTCAGGAAGTGCCTCGTAAGATCAAAGATCAATTTCAGAAAGTTGAAATCATAGCAGAATAGTGATAAAATATCTTCACTGTTTGAATCGAAAAAGTGATATGGAGTAGTTTTGTTATTACGTGAATAAGATAAAATATGGTGAATAAGTGTCACCATAAGAACGTTAAAGAGTTTCCACTGTTTTGAAGTGAAGAAGTTAGATGAAGTAGTTTAGTTACTATATGGAGAAGTTGAAGTATATTGAGCAGATGTTAACATAAGAATGATAGAAGATTCACGGATGTGGTTATTAGTTAGGAGAATTCAAGAATAAGCGCATTAGTGACAAGCGTATGAGATATATAAAGTCAGAGCATATGAGGTTGAAACAAAGGGATAATATTGTGTATAAGCAAGAGTGTGGCTATAATAAGGGTTTGCATTCTAGATGAAAAGAGTTAGTGTTGGCTAACCAGATTATATGATGGAAAATGTATGTGAATTATAAGAATTTGAGATATTGTCAGGACAGAATAACCAAAGATGAGGGGGATCTGGATACAGTTGTATATTTGGATCATAATAAATGTGGATTTGATAAGTTAAGTAAACTATTGCTGAGATAATTCCGACTGGATTGAATGTATATGAATGGTTCTGTAACATCCGCAATACCGGGTTAGTGACCAAATTGTAAAGTTTCAGAATTTGGTACTAAAGTATAAGAATAAAATAATTCAATGATTATTTGAATATATATTGAAGGTTATTTAGTAATTATTAAAGGAAATTAAGGGTATTATGGTCTTTTCCTTTAAAAGATATTCTTCCCCCTTTTATAAGAGTGAAAAACGTGGGAAGAGAGCTATCTGGAAGCTTTCTTCTTCTTGCTTTCTCTTCTTCACGTGGGGCTAGCTACAAAAGGTAAGTTAATTTCAGTTGGTTAATTCTTGAGTTTTAAGTTTGGTTTTGATTCTTTGGGTATTAAATAAGCTTAAGGAAAGCTTATATGTGATTTAAACAATAAGATAAAGGAATTATGAAGGAATTTGCAATATGAGTTTTAAGATGAAATTTTGATATGGTATGGTTGTTAAAGTTTTATGGATGAATTTGGCTTGTCATCAATCTAATTAAGAAGTATGAAGTGTTAGAATTGGAATTAGAACACATTGAAAATTTGGTATGATTTTTGAATCCCATATGGAAGATAGGATTTTGAGGTTTAAGATGAAATAAATGAATATAGATTAGTTTAAGTATGTGTACTAGAGTTAAGAATGAAAAGGGGATAATATATGAAGTGTTTGAGAGGAAATGAAGTAATTTTCGGGTTGAAAATATGATTTCTGGGCAAGGAGAATCGGTACCCATTCAAGGGGAACCGATACCCCTTCAAACGAAAAAAATTTCCAGAATGTCATGAGGAAATCGATACCCCCTTAGTAGGGAACCTATTCCCCCTAAAGGAAAAATGGGAATATTGGTTTAATAAGTTCGTTTAAGTTGCTAGTATCCAATTACAAGGTGTAGGTATCTAATGATTGCCTCAAAATGTATAATTATGTAGATTCAAGGCTTAAACGAGTTCCGGAATCATTGACAAGTAAGATCGATCAAGGGAAAGATAGAAGATTGGAATTGACTAGTGAGGCTAAGGTGAGTGCAATTTAAATTGTACTTATGTGATTGATCAAACATTGGCTTGCGATGAGTCAATGATAGAGTTACTATGGTAAGAAGTAACTTATATAATGTTATGTGATTACTACGCGTGCATTAGTACATAGAAATGGATGTAGGTTTATATGTTACATGATTTACATGCTTACGTGAAAAATGCAACATATGATATTAGATATATGTTTACACATACATGTGGTATGTGATAGAAGAGAATGAACATGTGATTATGAGATCCATGATTACACGTACATGTGATACGTGACTGAAAAGAAAAGATATGTGTTTATAAGAAAAAGAATATGAATAAGTAATGTGAACCGTTATAAATGATAATGCCCATGTTATGTGATATGAGAGCTAGGGGTATAGTTGGCATGCCAAGGGTCGAGGGTTTACCTATGTTCTTCGGGACATATGGACTGTTTACCTATGTTCTTCGGGACATATGGACTATTTACCTATGTTCTTCGGGACATATGGACTGATTACCTAGGTTCTTCGGAATCTATGGACTGGTCCTTCGAGACATTTATATGAGCTGTGATGGCAGCATAGTGGTGCACAACCTCAATAGACTCACATATCTACAGTTCTCACAGGTGTACATGGGCTAATCAAGAGATATAAACAAATATATGTTAGTGATATGATAAATGTATTACAAATGATATGATGTTGTGTGTGTATAGTGTTTGATTGAAAAGGTTAAGTATAAAAGTATGTGATTACATGATAAACTGCTAATGATGATTTATGTGTATGTATGTATTTATTGTTTATTAATCTGATATAATTTTACATGATATGAGGAAGTCATGTAATTTGGTATAGCATGATAAAACAGAACATGCATATATTGATATATGTTATAAAGTGCATTATAAGTTTTTATGCCTCACTAAGTCTTCGACTTAGCGTGTGATTGTTTCACACGTAGGTTTCGAGAAGAGTAAAGAGTAATGCGGAGCAAGACAGGTCAGTTTTCCTTACCAAATGTCAGATCAGAAAAATATAGGTACTGTATATAGAGTGTAGTTGGCATGTAGTCTAAAGACATAAATTGTATGAACTCTGATATATATTTTGTAAACGTTTTGAATAAGTTAAATGTTATCAAAGTTTTTAAATTACTCACTATTTTATATGAATAAATGTTTGAAAAGTCAATGTGACACTTCGGACTCGTATCCGGATCGGATACGGGTTGGGGGTGTTACATTTAATGGTATCAGAGCTAAGGTTTAGCCGATTCTCGGCATAAACCGAAGTCCAAAGTGTCATAAAAGGTGTACATGCCAACATAGATTGAAAAATTTCTGATCTGATAGTGTAAGGAATATGTTGTCTTGCTAATAGAATAAGAATAGTTTAATACAGTAGAAATCTGATCGTGATAATTTCGAAATAAGTGAAAGGTGATATTCCTGATTGTGATAGCTATTCACCTGCCCTGGCTAGGTAGGATGAAGAGCGGACACCTCAGGAAATGCCTAGTAAGATCAAAAGTTCATTTCAGAAAGCTAAAATCATATCTGAATAATGATAGAAAGTTTTCATCGTTTGGAATCGGAAACATGATATAGAGTAGTTTTGTTATTATGTGGATAAGATAGAATATGGTGAACAGGTGTCACCATAAGAATGTTAAAAAGATCTAATGACGTGATGAGTACGTATAGAAGAACTAAAGGATAAGTGCATCAGTGACAAGTGTATAAGATGTATAAAGTCAGAGCTTATGAGTTTGAAACGAAGTGATAGTATTGCGCATAAACAAGAGTATGTTTATGGTAAGGGTTTGCAGTTAAAATGGAAAGAGTTAGCATTGGCTAACTAGAGTATGTGATAAAAATGTACTGGAATTATAAGATTATAAAATATTGTCAGGATATGATAACCAGATCTGCAATGGATCTGGATATAGTTGCATATTTGGATCATAGTAATGTGGTATAGTAAAGGAAAATGAAGTAAGAATTTGTATATTCAAGTAAAGCTGAGGATTGATAAGAAGAGTTTGAGAATATGTATATCGATGATCAGATTATAGGACACAGGAAGTCAGAATGTTGAGTTTGAGCAAAAGAAATTTCAGGATGTATGCGAATAGAGTTGAAATTGATAAGTTAAGTAAGCGAATGTTGAGATAATTTAGATTGGAAAGGATGTATATGATTGGTATAATAGGGCTTGTGCCCTAGATTGAACAAAAGTTATTATCTAGATGTCAGAGTAAAGGTGCTAGAGTTATAAGATTGGAGGAAAGATAAAGTGGAGTTAATTGATTATGATGTGAATTTGAATATAGTTGTATGTTCTGAGCAGATAGCTATGATGTAGACACTGAGATAAGTATTCGCATGGAACCTTCAGAAAGGAAAATACAAGTATAAGAAATGATAAAGAATGAAGTTATGTATAAGAAATGGGTTATCAGAGTAATGAGGATGCAATGAAGATTGGTACATAAATATGAGTATAAGTAATAAGACAAGAGCATGTGAACATGAAAGGAAATATATGATTTATGTATAAGGAATAAAGAAATGAAAAGGATTGATTTAAAGGATCAGATATGATAAATATGGAAGTATAGAGGACAATTTTGATATAGAAATAAGACAAGTGTGCAAGGTGATGTGAAAATATTGTTTGACTCCTTAAAGTATATGTTTAATCACATTGAAGAAGATTTAAAGTTGTGTTTTGGTCAAATGATGACGAAATACAAGTTTGGTATGGTTATAAGGTAATTAGAGAGTTATAAAGAAATAGATGGATTTATGATATAGAGATGAATGTATAAACGAAAAAGATAGTTGGAAAACTAAAGGATTGAAAAGTAAGTTTCTGATGATGACAAGAAAGAATAAGTCAGGGAAGCAACATAAGAACATTAGAAGATATGTTCTTATTAAGATGTGCAGTGAAAATTCGAGGACGAATTTTCTTATAAGGAGGGGAGATTTGTATCATCCGCAATACCGGGTTAGTGACCAAATTGTAAAGTTTCAGAATTTGGTGACTAAAGTATAAGAATAAAATAATTCAATGATTATTTGAATATATATTGAAGGTTATTTAGTAATTATTAAAGGAAATTAAGGGTATTATGGTCTTTTCCTTTAAAAGATATTCTTTCCCCTTTTATAAGAGTGAAAAACGTGGGAAGAGAGCTATCTGGAAGCTTTCTTCTTCTTGCTTTCTCTTCTTCACGTGGGGCTAGCTACAAAAGGTAAGTTAATTTCAGTTGGTTAATTCTTGAGTTTTAAGTTTGGTTTTGATTCTTTGGGTATTAAATAAGCTTAAGGAAAGCTTATATGTTATTTAAACAATAAGATAAAGGAATTATGAAGGAATTTGCAATATGAGTTTTAAGATGAAATTTTGATATGGTATGGTTGTTGAAGTTTTATGGATGAATTTGACTTGTCATCAATCTAATTAAGAAGTATGAAGTGTTAGAATTGGAATTAGAACACATTGAAAATTTGGTATGATTTTTGAATCCCATATGGAAGATAGGATTTTGAGGTTTAAGATGAAATAAATGAATATAGATTGGTTTAAGTATGTGTACTAGAGTTAAGAATGAAAAGGGGATAATATATGAAGTGTTTGAGAGGCAATGAAGTAATTTTCGGGTTGAAAATATGATTTCTGGGCAAGGGGAATCGGTACCCATTCAAGGGGAACCGATACCCCTTCAAACGAACAAAATTTCCAGAATGTCATGAGGAAATCGATACCCCCTTAGTAGGGAACCGATTCCCCCTAAAGGAAAAATGGGAATATTGGTTTAATAAGTTCGTTTAAGTTGCTAGTATCCAATTACAAGGTGTAGGTATCTAATGATTGCCTCAAAATGTATAATTATGTAGATTCAAGGCTTAAACGAGTTCCGGAATCATTGACAAGTAAGATCGATCAAGGGAAAGATAGAAGATTGGAATTGACTAGTGAGGATAAGGTGAGTGCAATTTAAATTGTACTTATGTGATTGATCAAACATTGGCTTGCGATGAGTCAATGATAGAGTTACTATGGTAAGAAGTAACTTATATAATGTTATGTGATTACTACGTGTGCATTAGTACATAGAAATGGATGTAGGTTTATATGTTACATGATTTACATGCTTACGTGAAAAATGCAACATATGATATTAGATATATGTTTACACATACATGTGGTATGTGATAGAAGAGAAGGAACATGTGATTATGAGATCCATGATTACACGTACATGTGATACGTGACTGAAAAGAAAAGATATGTGTTTATAAGAAAAAGAATATGAATAAGTAATGTGAACCGTTATAAATGATAATGCCCATGTTATGTGATATGAGAGCTAGGGGTATAGTTGGCATGCCAAGGGTCGAGGGTTTACCTATGTTCTTCGGGACATATGGACTGTTTACCTATGTTCTTCGGGACGTATGGACTGATTACCTAGGTTCTTCGGAATCTATGGACTGGTCCTTCGGGACATTTATATGAGCTGTGATGTTAGCATAGTGGTGCACAACCTCAATAGACTCACATATCTACAGTTCTCACAGGTGTACATGGGCTAATCAAGAGATATAAACAAATATATGTTAGTGATATGATAAACGTATTACAAATGATATGATGTTGTGTGTGTATAATGTTTGATTGAAAAGGTTAAGTATAAAAGTATGTGATTACATGATAAACTGCTAATGATGATTTATGTGTATGTATGTATTTATTGTTAATTAATCTGATATAATTTTACATGATATGAGGAAGTCATGTAATTTGGTATAGCATGATAAAACAGAACATGCATATATTGATATATGTTATAAAGTGCATTATAAGTTTTTATGCCCCACTAAGTCTTCGACTTAGCGTGTGATTATTTCACACGTAGGTGTCGAGAAGAGTAAAGAGTAATGCGGAGCAAGACAGGTCAGTTTTCCTTACCAAATGTCAGATCAGAAAAATATAGGTACTGTATATAGAGTGTAGTTGGCATGTAGTCTAAAGACATAAATTGTATGAACTCTGATATATATTTTGTAAACATTTTGAATAAGTTAAATGTTATCAAAGTTTTTAAATTACTCACTATTTTATACGAATAAATGTTTGAAAAGTCAATGTGACACTTCAGACTCGTATCCGGATCGGATACGGGTTGGGGGTGTTACAGGTTCGATGAAGGTTTATACTTTAGATTGGAATAATTGGTGGTGACTAACAGAATTATGTGATGGTAAGTGTATCAAAGTTAAAAGATTAGAAGATGATGTCAGGGTAAATTAACTAAGTATGGTGTAAATTGAGACACGATTATGTATTTTGATCACGAAAATGTAAGGTAATAGAAGAAACAAGAGAATAATACTATATACGAATAAGAGTGTGGGTTGGATAAGTGAGTAAATTGCACTGATTGGATTTCAACTGAGAAGATGAATATGATTAGTCTGATTAGGGCTTATGCCCTAAATTGGAAAAGTTATGACTGATTAATTGTAATAGTATGGATAATAAAGTTATAAGATTTGAAGAAAAGATAAAGTTAAGTTAATCAAGTATGATGTGGATTTGGATATGGTTTTGATAATATAGATATGAGGTAGGCAAGTAAATAAGTATTTGTATGTTTAAAAAGGAGCTTTGAGGAAGAAAATACAAGTACAAGATATGGTAAAGAATGAGGTTCTGTATAAGTAAAGTGGATTATCAAAGTTATGAAGATGCGATGAAGATCAGTAATTAGGGATAAGTATAAACGATATGAAAAGAGTATGAGAGCCTGAAGAAAAGATGTGATCTATGTTATAAGGAGATTTTGTTTTGGAAGGAATGAAAGAATAAAGGGATAGGAAAAGACAAAGATGGAGGTTAAATGATCAAGTATGACAAGAGGTATATTGAGATATAAGTTATAAGTTTGATATTGAAATAATACAATTTACAATTATTAGAAGAACGAGAATGGGTGATTATTCTTTGAACAAATACATAAGGGTTATATGAAAAGATTGTGTGTATAGTAATACATACAAGGATTAAGAAATGAGCAAAAGCTTGATTTATGTGCAAAGCATATAGAGAATGATGAAAAAGATCAATTGATCCATAATAGTGAGGATTAAGGATTTGGGGTGTTGTCTATATAATGAATAATAATATATGGACTTATAAAGATGTGGACGTATATGAAGAATTGAGTATGAGAAAATGGTAAGTTGCTAGCGGTAGCAGGAAATATTAAGGGAAGCAACATGAAAATATTAGAAGACATAATATTATAAAGGCATGCAGTGAAAATTCGAGGACGAATTTTCTTTAAAATAAGGGAGATTTGTAACATCCCAAATCAGGGTCAATGACTAAATTGTAAATTTTGAAAGTTTTGTGCTCAATTTAGAAATAATTAAAAGTCTCGGGATTTAAGTAAAGAATTTTAATATTGGATTAAATAGCAAAGATGGATGAACTAAATGGGAAAATAGTCTTTTCATGGGAAAGATTTTTATCTTCCCTTTTTTAGTATTATAAAACGTGGGAAATATGAGAGAGTTCCAGACTTCTCTTCTTCATTCTCTTCTTTTCCACCGTTAAGACATAAAAAAAAGGTAAGATCTCTTGTTAGTTGATATTTAGCTGAATTTAGGATTTGGTTATGATCATTGGATGATAATTAAGCTTAAGGAAAGCTTAAATCATCTTAAAAACAAAGGATGGTGGAATTAGGAGATATTAAAGATTAAGAGTTTTTGAATGAAATTTTGGAATAGAGTTCATTACTCAAATTGGAAGTTGAATTTGACTTGTCATCTATGAGAATAAGAAGTTAGAAGTGTTAGAATTAAGTTTGGGTAACATGGAAAAATTGGTATAATTTTTGAATGCTATGTGGAGGAGTGGATTTTTAAGTTAAAGAGATATTGAATGAAAATTTATTAGTTTAAGTATGTATATTTGAGTTAAGAATATTAAATGAAGTGAAATAGGAAGTGTGGAACTAAAAATGAAATGATTTTCGAGCTCAAAATATAATTTCTGGCTAGGGGAATCGATACCCATTCAAGGGGAACCGATACCCCCTCAAACGAACCAGAATTTACAGAATGTCATGGGGGGGAACCGATTCCCCCTAAAGAAAGAAATGAATATTAGTTTATTAAGTTCGTTTAAGTTGTTAGTATTGAATTACAAGATGTAGGTATCTAATAATT